AGGTCAAGAGGTCAGAGGTCATAACGGGTGTAACAGCTGTCGTGTGCATGTGTGTCTCTTGCCGTTAACTTTTCGTGGTCTTGGGTACGAGACGGAAGAGGTGGGATGGGAGGAAAAGAAGGTGGGATAGGGATAGGGAGGAGGAGGAGGAGGAGGAGGTAGGATAGGGAAGGAGGTGGTGGGTAGGGTTGGAGGAGGTGGGTGGGGTAGATGGTGAGGTAGGGTAGGAGGAGGAGGAGGTGGGGCAGCAGGAGGAGGAGGAGGAGGTAGGGTGGGGAGGAGGAAGAGAAATAAACGTGATAACCTGTACCCTCATCATCACACCTGTAGCGATAATTAACCCTTCAGGTAAGTAGTCACGTCACCCCCACCGCTACTCTCTCTCACCAGACTCCACATATGACCCTATGTACAACACACACACACACACACACACACACACACACACACAACCATGACACAGTAAAAACGGCCCAAATAAGTTTCCGTCACGACATAAAAATAACAAAATCACGCCAAATCACCTTCAGGAAATGTATCGTTCGCCTCCCCTGACACGTCTGTCCTGGCGGTGGTGAGATGACTAAGGTAACACAGTCTAGCCACATTTGGTTAGGTTAGGTTAGGTAGGGTTAGGGTTGGATGGGTTTGATTAGGGTGGGTTGGGATTGATCAGGGTGGGTTAGGTTGGGGTGGGTTGGGTTTGATCAGGGTGGGTTGGGTTTAAGTTAAGTTTTGTATATTTTCCTTGGTTATATCATAAACAATAAAGTAAATATATCAGCCATGTAACGTTTTATTTCCTCCAATGTTACAAAACCAATATTTCTTCTACTGGGTCATGGCGGAACAGCCCACCTTATTGATCTAATTAGTGAAGGAAACCTGTAGTCTCACGCTCACTAATGACACACACATCAAGAAGCGCTCAACACACTGACCCTCTCGACTCTCACTGACCATCACCACGACCTCATCTGCAAATTTGGTGAGAAGCTTCTGCACCATCCCCGACACCGGCTCCTACTACCACCTGAGATCCCTAGCCCGAGAATTACTGTTCGACACCACAACCGCATCCAGCCCTTACGAGCACGAACTGATCGCTATAAGAACAGCCCAGTCCCAACCATTGTAAAAATTATCAATAACTTGTAATCAACCAGTGTATTCACTCCCAGTCAGTCATACTTCTTGCACTGTCACTATGTTGAAATGCCCTGTAGTTTGAGCTTCACCCCACCTAGTTATTATATATCATATTTGTATCACTTATGTTACGTGTATATTATTTGTCAATCAAGAGACCCATTCCCCAATTATGTAACTGCATATTCTCAGCCTTCCAGCTGCCATGATCTTTCAATAAACCGTTAATTATTATTATTATTATTGAGAGAGAGAGAGAGAGAGATCAATTCATCACCAGACTAGGGGATGGCTGTTAAAGGTCAGGGGGCATCCCGTTAACACCCATCAAATTCACCAGTTAATTATGACAATTGGCCAAATTCACATTTATTTTGGTTAGTTGGATAAAAATTATGATAATTTTGCTTTATTTGTTTTGCATCATTTTGTTTGAGGAGGCGGCGACGGTGGTGAGCGAGGAGGACTTGGCCCAGGTGGTTGGCTTAAAGACGAGCGATGTTGTGTACGAGGACTCTGTACACCAACAGTGCCTCCTGCCGCCACTTATGTGCTTACTGTGTGCATTACTGGTGGTACTATACAGCCTCGTTGCTATACCAGTAATAATACGACGGTTCCTCACGCCCGCCACCGCCGCCACCACCTCCTCCTCCACCTCCTCCACCGCCACCACCACCTCCTCCTCGGGGCCTATCCGGTACCGCCCGCCTCCACGGATACTCCCGCCCTACCGCCCAACCTCCATCAAGAGCCTCCCTCTCTTCTACTCACCCTCCAGCGAGAGCCTCCCTTCCTCCCACTCATCCTCCTGGCAGAATCTCCCTTCCTCCCACTCATCCTCCAGGCAGAACCTCCCTCCCTCCCACTCATCCTCCAGGCAGAATCTCCCTCCCTCCCACTCATCCTCCAGAATCTCCTCCCTCCCTCATCCTCAGGCAGAATCTTCCTCCTCCACTCATCCTCCAGGCAGACTCCCTCCCTCCCACCACTCATCTCCTCGACACTCAGAATCTCCCTCCCTCCCATCCCCAGAATCTCCCTCCCTCCCACTCATCCTCCAGGCAGAATCTCCTCCCCTCATCCGACACTCAGAATCTCCCTCCCTCCCACTCATCCTCCAGGCAGAATCTCCTCTCCCCCATCCGACACTCACTCATCCGACACTCAGAATCTCCTCCCTCCTCATCCTCCAGGCAGAATCTCCTCCTCCCACTCATCCGACACTCAGAATCTCCCCTCCCACTCATCCTCCAGGCAGAATCTCCCTCCCTCTTCATCCACTCTTCTCCTCCTCCCACTCATCCACTCAGAATCTCCTCCTCCACTCATCCACCCTCCAGAATCTCCCTCCTTCCCATCCACCACTCAGAATCTCCTCCTCCCACTCATCCACCACTCAGAATATCCTCCCCCCACTCATCCAACTCCTCAGAATCTCCCTCCCTCCCAACCACCACTCAGAATCTCCTCCTCCCACTCATCCACCACTAGAATCTCCTCCGTCCCACTCATCGTTCACTCGAATCTCTAAATGGCAACTAGCCAAATTTTTTCATTGAAGGCGACGGACTTCATTTTTTCGATCGAGGTAGGTAGTCTAGGGGGAGGTGGAGGGGTCAGGAAGGGGTCAGGGGAGGGAGGGGGGGGAGAGAGGTCAGGGAGGAGAGTGAGGAGGGGTGAGGAGAGGGAGGAGAGAGGGGTGTTACTCAGCTGACCACATCTGGCGTCGTGAGTACAACAATCCAGTTATGTCACCACATTTTGCATCTGTTGTTTCCTCCTATACTGTCTGACCTACTCCTCCCTTGATGAGGAAAGGGGAGAGAGGGGAGGTGTGGTTATTTGTTTGATGGGGAGAGAATGATACTTGGGGGGGTGGAGGGAGTGAAGGAGGAAGGAGGAGGAGGAAGAGGAAGGAGGAGGAAGAGGAAGGAGGAAGAGGAAAGAGGAGGAAGAGGATAGAGGAGGAAGAGGATAGGGAGGAAGGAGGAGGAAGAAGAGAAGGTAGCCAGTTAGGTCAACAGTTAATAACACAATATGGACGGGGCTGGGTGGTGGAGGGGGGGGCGTGGTTGGCTCACCCGGGGTCTTGCTGCTCACATGGATGACGTGACGTGGTGGGATATAGGCACCCTGGAACCTGATGCCTTCGTCTTCACTTGCAGGGGGATGTTTTTCTTTCAGTTGTTTTAATGTCTCTGTTTATTGGCAGAACCCCACCGGAGGATTCCTCTGTGAGAGATCTTACCGCCAAAGACACTTTTCCCACTCGCATTTTGTTTCCAAACTTTCTTGCAACGTCAACGGTGTTTTGCTTTCCGTCTTCTGTAAATTTACCACTACTACTACCACCACTACATGTAAACAAACCCTCGATCGATTCCCATTTAACTACACATTAAACCAAGCTTTGTGTTATGTACAGTAGAGGGTGTCAAATATATTATAACACACACAGACAGACACACAGACAGACAGACAGACAGACAGACACATACATACATACATACATACATACATACATACAGACACACACACACACACACACTGACCCACTACCACTCGTCTATAATTCTTGTGTTGTTGGTTAATTGACTAATTACCCATAACCGCCTCCTTCAAGAGCTAATTGGCTCCCAAACTACAGGCGTATCGAAACATTAACTCAGCCCCCGCCCCACCCACGATGATCTGCACCACTGTGAGCTTCGTCAGGTAACCCATGCCAGGGGCGACCTACATCTACCTGTATGTTTTGAAGGACGGGATGTGTGGGGGTAGGAGGGGGTGTGGGGGATAGGAGGGGTGTGTGTGGGGATAGGAGAGTGTGTGTGGGGGAAGGGGTGTGTGGGGGTAGGACAGGTGTGTGTGGGGGTGGGACGGGTGTGTGTGTGGGGTGGGACAGTGTGTGTGGGGGGAGGTGGGAGGGGTGGGGGGTTAGGAGAGGTGGGGGGGGTTAGGAGAGGTGTGGGGGTTAGGAGGGTGTGAGGGGGTTAGGGAGGGTGGGGGAATGAGGAGGTTAGGAGGGTGTGGGGGTTAGGAGGGGGTGTGGGGGGTGGGGAGGTGTGGGGGAGTAGGAGGGTGTGGGGGGGGGGTAGAGGGTGTGGGGGAGTGGGAGGGGGTGGGGGGGGGGTGGGAGGGTGTGGGGGTAGGAGGGTGTGGGGGAGATGGGAGGTGTGGGGGGGGGTGGGAGGGTGGGGGGGGTGGGAGGGGGTGTGGGGGGGGTGGGAGGGGGTGTGTGGGGGGGTGGGGAGGGTGTGGGGTGGGAGGGGGTGTGGGGTGGGGAGGGGGTGTGGGGAGGGAGGGGTGTGGGGGGAAGGAGGGGTGTGGGGGGGTGGGAGGGGTGTGGGGGGTAGGAGGGGGTGTGGGGGGGTAGGAGGGGGTGTGGGGGTTGGGAGGGTGTGGGGGGAGTGGGAGGGGGTGTGGGGAGTGGGGTGGGGAGGGTGTGGGGGTGGGAGGGGGTGTGGGGGGTGGGGAGGGGTGTGGGGTGGGGAGGGGTGTGGGGTGGGGAGGGGGTGTGTGGGGGGTGGGGAGGGTGTGTGGGGGAGGTGGGAGGGTGTGGGGAGGTGGGAGGGGGGTGTGTGGGGAGGTAGGGAGGGGGGGGTGTGTGGGGGGAGGTGGGGAGGGGGGTGTGTGGAGGGGGACAGTGATACAGTCAATACGTGATTAAGGTAGTTAGAGAATAAGGTTGGCGAATCATATACAATGATCCCTCCCCCCAGTGAGGTGATTTTAGGGGTGGGGGGGAGGAGACGTGGCGTCATGGAGGGGAGGGAGGGTGGTGGAGGTGCGAACTGATGGAGGCTCCTCGGGTCCAACACTGCCTGGCCACACATCAGTCCGCCGTCCACCGCTGGCTAACACACACGTCCAGGCTCCTCCCTCAAAACCCCACACACACGCCACCCATCAACTCCTCGTAATACACAACAAACTGGCGTGTTGTGCTATCAGTGGCTTTTACCGTCACCCGTCGAGGATTTGTGTTGTGATCCCAAACATTCCAAGTCGAGTACTGTTTATCACGGGGTCGAAGATAACTCTCCCTGAAACAGAGTGAGGTGAAGAGAAACAATAGTGTGTACTGTACTGAAGGACGTTAGTGTTTCAACATGGCGCTAGGGGGAGGGTTCCTGTGAAGAAGGTAAGCCTCTTAAGAGTGAGTGAGCGAGCGAGTGTTGTCCCACACCAGTAAGATGGTGTCTCAGGCGGGTGTCGGTGGGTCCTTCCTGCCCCTCAACCAGCCGTTGCTGCAGCTGCCCCTCATCAGCCCACGAGCCATCCACGCTGGCTTCTCCACCAGCAGCGACAACCTCCCGCCCACCATCACCAAACACGCCCCCGAGACATCCTTTAATAACAACCAGCTGCAGGAGCTCTTCTCACGCTTCCCGGCTTCCTTCATCGCCGCCACTCAAAGACAACAACAGAGGCGGCACACCACCACGCCCCCCACCACCACTACTACTACCACCACCACCACCACCACAACGCCACGACGCACGCAGTTTTTTCGTCGTCGACTGAGAACGACGACAGCTCCCCGGTTTGTGAGTCAGTTCCACTATGGAGGCATTGAAGGCCGGGATGACTACCCGATGGGCCCTGCTGAGGACGACGCCGTGGTGCTGCTGGTGGGACTGTTTAACCTGCTGGCGGTGGTGGTGTACGCCGCCAACAAGTACGTCAAGGGCGAGCCTGGGGCGCTGTCTGACCGTGTGATACAGTGGCAGGTGCAGAAGGTGCTGGACGAGCTGGTCATCAAGGTACACAGCTCCCAGTACGCCGCCAACCTCTTGTCCCGGGCCATGCCTGACGACGCCGCCACGCTGGTGGTGGGTCGCGGGGGCCACCACACCAACATGCCTCCCTGGCTCAACCTCCTGCAGACTAAAATACAGTCGCTAGTGACTTACAACTCCTCCACGGAGGCGACCAGGTGGCTCCAGCAGGCCAAGGAGCGACTCATGACAGAGATAGGGTCGTCGCCGGCAGCCCTGGCCACCGTCAGGCTCCAACCCACAATATACAAACCTCTGCAGGAGCTGTACTCTTCCCTGACGACCGAAGGCAGCGTCACTCACACCCTACAGCAGCTGGTGGGTGACGGGGGAGGGGGTCGTGGCCTTCCCTCCAACATGGGGGACCTCTCCTCCCTGCTGGGGTCCCTCAGTAAGCTGAGTGTGAGTCAGCTGCAGTCTACCCTGGCGGCCCTCACGGCTCTAGGACGCGCCCAGCAGAGGGTCAATGTGGTGCCCGCCCTCGCCTCCGTCATGCGAGGTAGCCTCACCTCCCACCGTAACACCCGAGAGGCCAAGGTTATCAGCGAGGACAACAACTACTTGAGGCGGCACATCCGCCGCTCTAGGATGTCCACCTCCCGCCAGGGGGCAACAGCTGCCATCCACCGCCGCCAGTACAACTCCCGGTACAGTCGCGTGTATGACAGCGAGGCCCAGGACCGCAGCCAGCAGCAGCAGAAGGTAGTGAGGCGCCAGGGCGTGGTTGAGGACGAGAACTCCCTGGGTGGGAGTCCCTCAGGCCACTGGACGGACAGGTGGTTCTCTCTAGTGACGCAGGTGTCCCCCGTGGGGCTGGACATGAGTACACTGTACGCCAGGGCCCGGGGACGACCTGCCTGCCTGAGGGCGCTCCTCTGCCGCGCCAACAACGCCTGGAGACAGGTGGGACCTGTGCAGGCCGCCCTCACCCCCTTCACCAGGTAAGTCACCATCCACCAGCAGGTAACAATTAACCTCCTTCCACAATACTGTACAGAAAGAGTGTTGTTTATAGGCGTCACCCCCCGGTACAGTACCTCAACAAGTAACTCTGCTCCATCAACCTGTAACCCGTCAAGGGGGTCACACTTCCTCTTTGACGGAGGTGAGCCACACTACACCACACTACACTACACACCACACTAAACTATACACAAGCTGGTACAGTACAACTCCCCAAACAACTAACAACACCTGGGCTACATAAGCCAGGTAGAACACCACCGTCACAGTGCTGGTGAGATGGATCCAGGTTAAAACGAGTTGACTCGAGGCCAGACAGACAGAAACAAATAGGTTATTTCTCTAACTGCCTCGTTGACTCTGTCCAGATAATTACTTCTCATGGCTGGGAGGATGACTCTGTGTCTGTCTTCCCTCCGCTACTGTGTTCAATTATGAGAGCCCCCCAGGTGTGCGGCAAGATCCACGCATTTCGTTCACTGTTCCACATTGCAAACACAGAAAAATAACGATACTTTAGGGGGTGAGATGTGGGGCTGGGCAGGCGGGGTGAGGTGGGGCTGGACGGGGTGAGGTGGGGCTGGACGGGGTGAGGTGGGGCTGGGTGGGGTGAGGTGGGCTGGGTGGGGTGAGGTGGGGCTGGGCGGGGGGTGCAGAGGTGGCCAGGCGGGGGTGAGGGTGGGCTACAGGGCGGGGGTGAGGGGCAGGGCGGGGGTGGGGAGGTGGGGGCTGGACGGGGAAGAGGTGGGGCTGGACGGGGGTGAGGTGGGGCTGGACGGGGTGAGGTGGGGGCAGGCGGGGTGAGGTGGGCTGGGCAGGGCGTGGGGGTGAGGTGGGCCAGACGGGGGTGAGGTGGGGCGTGTACCTGGTAAGACACACACTCAGACATACCCCGGCGTTGGTCCTCACTCACGTCCACCCGCTATAACGTGAGAGAGTATCTACCTACCTGAGCCTCACCCCTATACACACAACAACTGGTAGACCATTAATAACGAAACTGTATAATGCGACTCAGAGCGGGTTACCAACACCCTAAATTAACGAACTGTATCACCCGAGAAGACCGGACAACTCGCCAACTGCACTGGCTAACCATTACCCCGAAACACATCCAGGTTCCCAATTACCGCTGGGTAGACAGAGGCAAATGGCGTAATGAAACTTGCCCTTAGTTTCACCCTGCCCGGGAATCGAACCTGGGTCCATTCACTTGCGAGGCGAGCAAGCTGACCATTACACCACAGGTATATCAGTCCACAGACAGACAGACAGACACACAGTAATAATAAAAGCATCTGCCTAACGATGAAACCTGGCAGGTAAAACATTACATGAGAGAGAGAGAGAGAGAGAGAGAGTGTGTGTGTGTTGGAGGTGAAGAAGGGCGACCAATGAGACAGTGAAAGGGGGGGTGGGGGGTGTAGAGGGTGGTCAGGGGAGATGGATGGGAGAGATAACGGGAAGGAAAATAAACGATAATAACAACAGTAAAAGGAAAACAAACATCATCACGACACACACACACACACACACCTCGTCATCATCACTAACAACACTCATACTATATACACACACAAGCAAGCAAGCAATTAATCAAGCAACAATAACAATAATAAACTCAGTACCACCAGCCACCACTCATCACCAAAACACACACTGCCATCTGTCGTCGGACCAAATTAATTACCACCACTACTTTGCTGTCACTCGGAATCAAGAATGACGATCACCCAGCTATGATACAATGATATGAGTTGGTGAGTACTGAGGTAACTAAAGACGCCGATACGGGACAGGTAGGGTCGTCTATAGATGTTGCACATGTGGGGGGCTACATCTAGTGCGGGAGGGGCGGTGGCAGCGTCTTTCCTACGATGGCGTTTGTCTGCCTCGGTATGCAGTCGGGCTAACTCGAAAGCATTGACACCTTCTCGTGTGGTGCTCCTCCAAGCGTTACGGCGTGGAGTAATTGTCTCCAGGTGAGGGGGTCGATTTGGCATCTTTAAAGGTTTGTCTTAAGACTATCTTTATACCTTTTCAGTTGCTCGCCGGCGTTGCATTTACTATTCGTTAAGTGACTGTAAAGTAGCTGTTTTGGCAGTCTACTGTCATCCACGGGAACGGAGGCTGCCAAAGGCTTGAGATGCACATCTGATCTGATGTTAAATCTCTTCATCGATGTCCTCGGTGGTGGACAGGTGGGAGCCGAGATACCGAAAGTGGGTAACATTAGAGAGGGTAGTACCGTTAAGCTGAATGGATGGTGGAGGCGTGTCTGAACCAGGGGCAGGTTGAAAAAGAATCTGAGTCTTACGTACATTCATCTCAAGGCCGAAGTGTGCATGCTTACACATGTGTAGGTGTTCAAGATCTCCTGTAGGTCGTGTTCAGTGTGAGCGACAAGGGTGAGGTCGTCAGCATACTGAAGTTCAGTGATGGAAGCTGCCGACACCTTTGTTCCTGCCTGGGGTCGTCTTATGTTGAAAAAACCCTTCATCCGGTACTGGATGTCCACCCCGCCGGCTAAATTGGCACTGGCACGAGTAAGGAAGGCAGCCCCGCCCTCACCCCAAAATGAAAACGAGAGTTGGTGCCAGTACACACCCTTGTTTAACCCCCGTTTGGATGGGGAAGAACTCAGACTGGGTGCCATTGTACAGGACACTGCCGTTCATGTGATCGTGGAGTTGCCTCACAATGACAATGAATTTTGGTGGGCAGCCAAAACGGCTGAGGGTCCACCAGAGAGCTTCCCTGTTGACCGAGTTGAAGGCCTTGGTTAGGTCGATGAAAGCCATGTACATGGCACGACGCTGTTCTCTGCACTTTTCCTGTATCTGGCGGGCAGCAAAGGTCATATCAGTGATACTACGTGATGGTCTAAAGCCACATTGAGATTCTGGGAGGATGTTTTCCGCCCCAGGAAGAAGTCTGTTTAGGAGGACTTGGGCGATAATCTTGCCAGTCACACACACACACAGTTACTCCCTGTCATGAAATCGTTGCGTCCACCTACTGTTTGGTTGAGTCTTTATATTGTTTGTCTCTCCCTCCCTTCCTGTCTTCCTCTCAGTACCAAATTAGTCTCCATCAGATTCACACATGGTCGGTCATTCTCAGCTGGGGTGGTGACAACACCAGCATGCACCAAGTAATATGAAGATCACCACGATGATAGCTACAGTAACCCCAGCGATGCTTCCTGCAGGTTGGGTCAGGTCAACACTTTATCCTCGTCAACAAGAGACAATAATATGGGAGTAAGGAAGGTTACAGGGTTGGCTGGTCACCGCCGTTTTGGGAAGAGGTAATGGTCCCCGGCCTCAAACATTCTACTGACGAGAGGCAGATATTCTAACGCTTCCTCCTGCACGAGGAAGCTTGTTACTCCAGATGTTGGAGGTGACCTCAGGGCCTCACCAGCAGGAGGAAGTCGTCCTGGACCTTGTTACTCCACACGGCGGCCACACATAATGACAGTTGTTATTGTTCAACCACCATAATATTTTCCCTCCTCCCTCTCTGTCTGTCTTCTTCCTTCCCTCCTCACCATGACAAATCTTACTCCTCCCTCCTTCTGTTTCTAACTACCGTAGTGTGTGTGTGTGTGTGTGTGTGTGTGTGTGTGTGTGAGGTGTGTGTGTGTGTGTGTGAGTGTGTGTGTGTGTGTGTGTGTGTGTGGTGAGTGATGTGTGTGTGTGTGTGTGTGTGTGTGTGTGTGTGTGTGTGTGTGTGTGTGTGTGTGTGCAGAAGAGGAAAGTTGTCGCCACAGTACACCAGCTCACCCCACCAAGTCGCCCAGAAGCGTCATATACAGCACAGCACCTACCTCTTGTTAATTAAAAACTGACTCACTCCTGTTTTAAATAACCCTTAATTACTGTCACTGATATAGGTTAGGTTAGCTCAGGTTAGGTTAGGTTACGTTATAATAACTTGTTCAGGGGACTTTTGGGTTTAATAAGGCCAGAGGAGTTGGTGGTGAGAATCATTCAACACAAACAACCTAACCTAACCACAACCTAACCCACCCCAACCTAACCCACCCCAACCTAACCCACCCCAACCTAACCTAACCCAACCTAACCCACTCCAACCTAACCTAACCTACCCAACCTAACCTAACCCAACCTAACCAATCCAATCTAACCACCTAACCCAACCTAAAACTAATCTAAACCAACAACCAAACTCATAACCTTGACTGATGATTACAATTTGTATGTTTTTTTACAAGCCACCCATAACCACCACCACCAACACCAACCACCACCTTATTCCATCACCACACCACCACCACCCATAACCAAACTTAACCACACCAACTGACGCCCACAAGACCCTCCCACGCCATAACTGTACCATTATCATACTCCCAATGAAGAGGATGAGCTATAAACAATGGGGCTGAGCTATAAACAATGGGGCTGAGCTATAAACAATGGGGCTGAGCTATAAACAATGGGGCTGAGCAATAAACAATGGCGAAGGAACTGGTGCTGACGTTAATTTACACCCGACAGCTGCTGGTGTGTGTGTGTGTTGGTCAGTCATAATGAATAACTAATGATGTTTACTTTGTTCAGGTAAATACAACGAACAGGACCAACCAAAGGCCTCGAGTGTTGAGATAACGCTGGGAGGGGTGGAGAGGTTGTGGGAGGGGTGGAGAGGTTGCTGGGAGCTGTGGGAGGTGGAGAGGTTGTGGGAGGGTCTAACGCTCACCAAACCTGTTAACCCCATCTTACTCTACCCCCCCAGGTAGTAAAGGTGTTTAATTAACCAGGTAAAACATTGATAAGTTTACGGGTGCCTAATTTTCACGTGACCCCCTTCCCCCCCCGGTCAAGCTTAACACCTGTAATTAAAGAGTTTTTACTGAGGTCGAGTAAGTGACTTCTTCTTCCACGACAGTAAGTAAGTGACTTCCTCTTCCACGACAGTAAATAAGTGACTTCCTCTTCCACGACAGTAAATAAGTGACTTCCTCTTCCACGACAGTAAATACGTGACTTCCTCTTCCACGACAGTAAATAAATGACTTCCTCTTCCACGACAGTAAATAAGTGACTTCCTCTTCCACGACAGTAAATAAGTGACTTCCTCTTCCACGACAGTAAATACGTGACTTCCTCTTCCACGACAGTAAATAAATGACTTCCTCTTCCACGACAGTAAAGACTCATGATCCGCCTCGATGTTAACTTTATTGTGAGCTCCGAGGTGACGCAGCGATGTTCCTGTAGACGACACTGTGACCCAGTTGTTACAGGTGGGAGGGGAGGGGGAAGGAGGGGAGGGGGAAGGAGGGGAGAGGGAAGGGGTTGGAGGGGAGAAGGAAAGAGGGTGGGTAGGCAAGAGGAATAAAAGAGGAGAGGGGAAGGGAAAGGAGAGGAAGGAGGGTGGGAAGGTGAGGGTAGGAGGAAGTATGGAGGGAAACCACAGAAATTACGGCCCCAGGTAACATGGCGGGGTTACACACCTAAATCGTGCACACACACACACACACACACACACACACACACACACACATTCTTGGTTCATTGTGTGCGTGTGACTTAACCTAACCTAAACCTAATCTAATTGTTATAAGTATATGGCCATGTAGCTCCAATGGGTAAGTTGGGTTGGGTTTGGTTAGGTTAGGTTTGATTAGGTTGGATTAGGTTAGATTATTAGGTTAGTTAGGTTAGGGATTAGGTTAGATTAGGTTAGGTTAGGTTAGATTAGGTTAGGTTAGGTTTGATTAGGTTAGGTTAGGTTAGATTAGGTTAGGTTTGATTAGGTTAGGTTTGATTAGGTTAGGTTAGGGGCTGGGGGCTCATTTGACTAGGTATTCACATCTTATCTGAGGGGTGGGGGGGGAGGGAGCAGGTGGGAGAGTGAGAAGAGAGAAAGGGGGATAAGGTGTTGAGGAGGAGGAGGGGGCGAGGAGTGGGAAGGAGGAGACATGCAAACACCTTCCGTTACTCAACAGATGGCGTTCTTAATAATGGTACAGGTATATACAGGTATATGTTGCCACCTGTTTACCTGCTGCCACCGTTACACTTTCTTACTGTTACCTGTTATTTAATCTGTTGCTGAGAGAGAGAGAGAGAGAGACTCCCTTATAATAACGTAGGGTACAAGTATAGTGAGATTATTATTATGTAGTTTTAAGTGGCACACACACACACAGGTCCACTTATTGGTGGACTCTTGGCCCACTTCCCCTCAAGATATTCTCACTGAGGCATTTGCTACATCATGCAACTTCCCCCACCCCCCACACACACACAAGGGGCAGCAGGCCACAGCGAGAGAGAGAGAGAGACGCCCATTACGTACTAACTCTCTAAGACGGAGGACAGGGAGGGAGGGAGGGAGGACACAATGACGTCACGGATCAAAACAAAAACACACGTAGTCAAGATTTTATGAATGAACAAACGGAAGTAAACAAACGGAAGTAAACAACAGGAAGTAAACAACAGGAAGTAAACAAGCGTGACCGTGACGTTGTGTGTAGCAGTACGGCGACCATAACTAACACAAGTGAATGTCATAATAATACTTACTTAAAATAAACAAACAAATAAATAAGAGTCTTCACTACCACCATTATTACTACCTACCATCACTACCACCATCACCACCAAGAACCACAACTACCACTAATCCTTTATCAAGTCTTTAAACATTTCACCATTACCATCAACAACCACAACTACCAACATTCGGCCCCATCCTCTAAGAAGCCAAGACCCCTTACCTCTTTCCCCTACCTAACTCCCCTCCCCCCAACAGAGATATACAGTACCCCCCATCACCCCCGTCGGATGAAAACGAGTGAAAGCAAACAAGGTAACTATTTAAATACACACACACACACACACAGGCGCCGGGGGGAGAGGGTTAACACTGACCATACATACATACATGCATACATACATAAAGGCGTGTGTGTAATAATCATACACACTCTCCAGCATAAGTCCTTGTCACCACCTAACCTGCCACTTCATTAACAGACCTCACCTGAGCAAACTCCACCCCAGTTTATTTCACCTAACGAGGATATAATAATTAACCACCTGAAACCTAACCTTATTTCATCCCACTCCAAATAGTTAGTGGTATATATATATATATCCGGAATTTGGTTACGGAAATTCAAGTCTGGTTTCCGGTATTAGTTCAGACCCCCAGAGCACAACACACACGTCGGCAGGTTAGCACACGGGCAAATAACATGAACCAACCAACATGAAGTATCACACACACACACACAAAAGAGCAAATAAAACTAACATGTACAAAAACAATTACTTAAGGGAACCACACACACACACACACACACACACACACACACACACACACACACACCATCTACGGGAGGCTGACCACAAGCATACACACGGCGAGCAGCGTACCATGAGAGAGAGATCGTCCACCGTGTCCAGTGTCCCATCGCCACACCACACTGACTGATGTTCTTCGCCTCACTACATTAAACAAAACAGTAAACCACAAATTATGTGGTACCTTGTGTTCCGTAAACTCAAACCGTCAACCCAATACAGTGGCTTGTACTAGTGGCGTCAATATCAAATAATTAATATAGAAATTTAATCAGGTAATGCAGATTCATTAAAAGCCTGAAAAATAAAATAATTCTACGCATGATAATTTTTGTTTAATTCTGAAGATAAATTTAGCTGGTATTCAACTTTACACGTACATACACAAGCAGAAGAACGGGTGTGGCATAAAGGCGTGAATTAACACAAGAAAAAACTCCTAACCTATATTAAACACTTACGATTTGTTCCCAGAATAATGTAATATTTCTGGAGGAAGACAAGACGATAAAATGAGCTAAGAATCCCTCATTAACGACGCCGCCCTCTATTGTGTTCCCGCTGACAACTACTGCAGCAGATGGCGCAACACACGCTATACCGAGTGAAGGAATATAGTTTAGTGACTCCAGTCTGCTGCACACGGTCCAGATGAACAACAGCGTGACGAGAGAGAGAGAGAGAGAGAGAGAGAGAGAGAGAGAGAGAGAGAGAGAGAGAGAGAGAGAGAGAGAGAGAGAGAGAGAGAGAGAGAGAGAGAGGAGAGAGAGAGGGTGGAGAGAGAGAGAGAGAGAGAGAGAGAGAGAGGGTGAGAGAGAGAGAGAGAGAGAGAGGGTGAGAGAGAGAGAGAGTGGTGAGAGAGAGAGAGAGAGAGAGAGAGAGAGAGGGGTGAGAGAGAGAGAGAGAGAGAGAGAGAGAGAGAGAGAGAGAGAGAGAGAGAGAGTGGAGAGGAGAGAGAGAGAGAGAGAGAGAGAGAGAGAGAGAGAGAGAGAGAGAGAGAGAGAGAGAGAGAGAGAGAGAGACATATTATGCATATTTAAGAGTAAATGCAAATTGATAAAAAAATCTATACTTTATCTGTCGCCATCAAGCACATAATTACAAGGTTTCAATTTATGACTGTCGACATTGGTATTCCCTACCTTCTCACACACACACACACACACACGTCTTTTAACTGTTGCCGTAGACTTCATTATACAGTTAATTCTTGTCACTGCGGTATAATTCGTTACACACACACACACTCACTACACAAAGTCCTTTAGACCACCACCACCTGAACCATCCGTAAAACTCTAAGGTCAGCACACTCCAGGTTTCACTACACTACCTCCATGACACGAAAACTACTGTAGTACTGTACAGGCTACATAAAAAAAAATTAAGTACTTTCTATCACCGTATGGCTAGTAGTTATTTCACTTCGGTAGGGGATGTTGTACAGAGCTTAATATTGCACCAAGTATGTCTGGCAACTTTTAAACTAATAATGTATACAATTGTCTTTTGTTTTAATTCTTACAATTTTTTTTTTTTATATCTGGCTAAAGTGACATCATGCCAATAGTAACCTCGATGGACTATTGTATGGGTTTCAGCTCTGTATTTAGGGGGTTACATCTACTGTACATACTACTGCAGCTCGAGGTCAATGGTATATCATCACTGTAACACTATACTATACTCCAGATTACAGTGTTATGTATGGAACACCACCAAAATGCTGTATTATACTGTATCTATAACACTATACTTCAGAATACAGTGTTATGTATGGGACACCACCAAACTACTGAATTATACTGTATCTCTAACACAATACTTCAGAATACAGTGTTAAATTTCAATAAAATCTTCTTTTATTGTTGATGTTGTGGTATATTAACATGTGTGGGTGTCTACAGTGTGGTGGTGAGCTGGGTGCTGGAGGACATGGCGCCACACTCACTGGGAGACTCGCTCATCGCTGTCCGCGCTGGTTGGATGGGCAAAGACTGCGCCCTCCTCTACCCCGAGTGCCCCCTCCAACCCGACCCCCACCCGGCCGCTAAGGAGGCGATCACGTTCTTCTCCAGGTAATGTTTTATAATGTATACCAAACAATGGCAGCCCAAGATCACACACCCGCGTCTTTTTAACATAAATTTTAAGGGGTATGGTTCCTCTCAGTTCTGGGAGATGCAACACTTAATGCATACAACAAGAAACATAAAGATTGAACATTTACTAATTACAGTTGTTTTAGGTGTACAGCATATCAATAAAAAATAAGTTTACTGTACTCTTGATACCTAAAACTGCCATATATTTCTTTCTTATTCATGCAAATTGATTATTATATTACATTCTCAGGCTAGAGTTTGCCGCCACTCAACCCCCTGACCAGACAGCACCGTCAGGAGGTCGTCCCTCACAAGACTCCACCATGACCAACACCGTGATAGAGCGCATCGACTCCCCCAACCCACACGACTCTACCATGGAACACAACACACCTCCGCCCCCTTATCCCGCTCACAGGGGAGGAATGCACATTACTCCCTCGCTGCCCTCCCAGTTCCAGCCACAGAACCAATACCTCGCCACCAAATCCCCCGGCCAGACGTACAATTACCGGTTACCAGAGAGAAAATCACAGCAAGAAGTTCCGGGAAGCGACTCCAGCCGCAACGACGCGGCGATGTCGGTCCACGCTTTTTATAATCGTTATGGTGGACAGGGACCAATGTCAGTGCCAGGGTCAGAGTACAATCCAAAGTATAGACAAGAGGATGTCGATAACAACGACAACAATCCAGAGAAACTGTACGAGAAGTATGACAGTCCGGCCTCTAGCGCTCCCGGGGATGCCATCTCCAACTCCAACAGTGTGTCAGGGATGGCACTCCAGGACTTCCCAACCGGCATCAGACCAAAAGTATGGGAAAGATTCTTCGAGGCAGGTCATTATGGATCCAATGTTCCTCATGCAGCAACACCGAATCAAGAGGTAAGTACAACACAGCATAACAACACACAGCATAGCTTATCTTTCGAGAAGGGAATAACATTATCACAGAGCATGTAGAGTACTGAACAGCCATTCTGGGTAATAAAATCAATAGAAACATTTTTAGAAGTTAACTATGCTCAGGGTCTGCACAAATTTGGTGTAAGCAAAGTTTTCCAGTATATAAACCCAGCAAAACACTACTAGCTCAATGTAATATGCTCTAGAAACATTTTGAGCCAGCCCACATGTTTATTGAGCTAGACATAGAATTTGCTCAGCAGGCAGTTCAAAATCGAAGTCTCAGTACAGTACAGTATATGGGTGTTAGTTACAATAGGTGGCAAAAATGGTGAAGGACGAGAAGAAATGTGGCGCCCCGCATCGTATGGGTTATTCGTGCCAAAATTTGAAACAGAGAAAACCGCGTTTAAAGTTTTTCTAACTTCAAACAGGCATAACTTTGGGGTTTTTTTGAGACACAGCAATAATTTGTTATGCATTTTGAAGCTAAAGGACTGTATACTTGCAGATGGTAGGTAGCGGGTCATGAAGTAATGTACTGGGTTGTTGCAATATTGACTTGAAGCAACAAAACTCCCACCCACTTATGGCTTATTTTACTTTAATCGATATCAGAGTGCAGATCCCGCCACAACAAAGGAGAACTGAGGGAGAGGGAGAGAGGGATTCTGCCTCATTGGCTGGAGGGGCCGTGACGTAGATAGCAAACGCTCACTGTGATTGGCCGAGACGGGGGGAGGCTGCAGACTGGCCGCTGTGATTGGCAGTCTGCTCCTCTCACTCACTCTCTCACTGGCGGGATGAGAGCACCTCACGATGCAAAAGCCAAGCCCATAATTTCCTGTCTGCCACAATTCGATGTTCTACCCAATTTTCAAAGGACTTTCAACCTTATTTACAGCATAGTAAGGAGATCTTATCAACTACCTTCATATAGAGCTAGGCCGAAAATAGTGCTTTCCAATAAAAAAGGGTTTCGCCTGGATGGTCTGAATGCACCTTACGAAGTGGAACACCTCAAATATTGACCAATAATTAAAACTATGTCAGTATACAGTTACTAAACAGTTTCCCAAGGCTACAGGTTCATGGATACTGCCACATAATCACTATGGTGTCTCGGGTTCATGCACCAGAGGCAAGTTAATGGTCTCCCTATTATTTTTCTTTCAGGTGAGAGAATCATAACAGATCAACGAAGATAACAAAGAAATTAACGCTTGAGAAAAAAAAATTTATATCCATGTAGAGAGAGAGAGATGCTGCACACCAATCAGTTGCGAAAGAATTTAATTAACAGCACCTACCGTACATGCCTGGGGGTTGTGGATTAAATTCGTCAATACTCTATTTACCAGCATTAAAGCAGTTTACAAAGGTGGTCAAGTTAAAACACTAAAACACTCCATCACCAAAAATAGAGATATGGTACTGTGACAAATAACGCCAATAGTAATAATAATAAAACCGAGATTACAAAGAAGTGGCGAAGAAAAACACAGATTTACACAGTCAGTAGAGGCAGAATGAGTAGCAAGAAACACCGTAAAGGGTCAAGCCAAAGGACTTACACGTACATCACTACTATGGGAGGATAATGTGATGGTGGAAACTGTCGTAATATAACAGTGACGCATGATGGAGGTCTCGGGACACAAACCCTTCAGAGTGATCAAGGGAAATATATTGGATGAGCAAGTGAATTATGGTGAGTCTTGGAGGGTTAAAACATCCTGAAAGAGTTAAACCATCACCCTTAAAGAGATAAACCAATGCCATCATCCTCAAGGGGTTAAACCATCACCCTTAAAGAGTAAACCATCATTCTCAAGGGGTTAAACCATCACCCTTAAAGAGTTAAACCATCATCCTCAAGGGGTTAAACCATCACCCTTAAAGAGTTAAACCATCATCCTCAAGGGGTTAAACTAAGTACAAGGTAATACACAATAAAATATCTTACCCTACCTTTATTCTCTCCCCCAGGAGTCTTCCACCAACAACCTGGAACCTGTCAAATCGTCCCTTCCTCAGCAAGCCCAGAGAAGACAGTCCCCGCCCAGCCTCAACAAGAAGGGTACATTTCCTCAAAAGTTCTCTCCTGACCACAACAACCACCAAAGTCATCGTCATAAATCACCCCAACAGAACCGACCCACCAAGCCTTACTTCCCCATCAGACCAATGCACAAACACCACCACACCACACACCAGCCTTCCAATGCTCCTCCGTCGCAGGGAACGCCAGCGGTAAAGAAATATAATTACGGGTTGAGACGCGGCCTCCCCGCCGGTAGCGTAAATGGCTACAATACGTACACCGGGAATGTATACCAGCGGCAAAAACCCCGGTACGCCTACAATAACCGTCCGAGATACCGTCCCACCCCACCTCACACTACCACCACCACCACGACGACACCCAGTACGACGACTCATCCGCTGGCCTCAAAGAATGTTGCTCCTTTTGGGCCGGAAGATGCAGTGACGGACGTTCGTCGTAATGAACTTTTATTCGAGTACATACGTGACAGACAAGGCTCAATTCCACTTGATGATAAGTAAGTCTACATCAAATATCTCTACCATAACTTTAAAAACATTAATTACTGTACTAATAGAAGGGTACTACAGCACTAACATACAATAAGAGCAGTGTGTTGCCAAACCTTTCTAGAATTTGCAAACAGTTATGATGTTTTAATAGTTGTACAGTACAGGACTTCACAAGCTTTTCAAACCACAACCAAGTTCTGGTTGTCTCTTCATACAAAAGTGATATGAAACTTCTTATACCAATATATTTCTGTCTGATTCCCTAACTGTAAAATTTTACGCTTAAAACAGAAATTAATTTCCCACTGCGTGGGGGGTTGAGGATATTGAGGTCAGTCACTGTGCATTCCAGATTATGCTTGGGTTATAATATACAGTACACTACTGTCAAGAGGGGACAGAACTCAATGCAATTTGGTTAAATGTGGGTTAAGGATCAACGACCAGAGCCAGTTTTAACAATCAGGTTGACGGTAAAGGTCGGAGGGGAAGGGTTCGCTTTGTTTGGATTGCTCGTTACATTTATTATATTACTGCGGGAATTATTCTCCCAATGCTGGTGGTTGTTTTTACATCTTGAGATACCTGTAGCAATGTCAATTTAATTCCTTTATATAATTTTCAATAATATATAAGCTGGTAACCCCTATGTGATGGGTTCAAGGGTTTGCTTAGTCCTGGCTAATGATATTAATAGTAGCCAGCTCAGCATAGCTACCACAACAGAACAACACCCAACCAACTCTGCATGGCCATAGTATCTAACCTGTGTCTCCTGGGTTGGGATCCACAGAGACCCTTTCAATTTTTATATGCAATACTATTCATTAACCATCTTTCAATCTCAGGTACATTTATATGACTGACGTGTAGTGTAAATGGACTCTTGAAGCAGCAGCAACAACACCTTGAAAATTAGATTGATAATATCACTGAAGAATACTCTGACCAAGTGGCAATAATATTTCTTAGTAAAGTGAGAGACACTTTTCGACCATTAAGACAAAGTGACAAACTGAGAGACTATGTGACCATTTTTAACCTTGTGTCTTGTTGATGAAATACTGTGAATACTGAACTCTGGACGGACAGAGACGCACAACAGGGTATTACTCGTGACCAGCGAGTTATGACGGCAGGCTTGAAAACAACAGCATTTCACCTTGTTGTCTCGTGTCATCGCCCGCACATTGATGGTTAAGTGACATTAGTGTTGTTCAGTGCCAAGCATAAGACTATGGACCGTGTGCTCTGACATACACCGGTGCTGTACCACACGACTGATACATGACGCAGTGACAGTAAATATTACATGTTGGCATTACCCTGCACTGTACTGTATTGTGCTTATATCTTGATGGAAGATTTGCAGTGTCTACCAGTTAATGCTTCATATGGTGAGACTTAAACATGTTATAACTAGATGTTATGTTAGTACAGTATACTGTAACTAGGGCCAAATACTGTATGAGTCTTGCTCCAACTTAAATCTACATAAAACAATTAAATATTACAATTGGAATATTATACATTACAATACTGTACAGTAGAGTATACTGTATTAATAAAAATGTATTACATGTACTTGAGTATCATCAACAATCAGGTATTAAATCATCAATCTAAGCATCACAAATGGTAACTCTGTACACAATGTCCGACAGACCGAGGCAGGTGTGTAAATTAGTCACACATTTATTGACAATAGTGACTTACTTTACATTAAAGTCTTTTTTAATAAACTTAAACAAAACTAAATAGAGAATAAGCTGATTGTTAGTGAGTGTGAAAGGATCATTGTTATGTAGAGTGAATGATAAGAATGTATGAGCCACAACCCAGCTGGAGACACTGTTCTGTCTGTCTGTCTGTCTGTCTGTGAGCTGATGGCTGGGCAACACCATCACCAAACATGGGCATAACTCTAGGTAAATAAACATGTAGTGTTCTATATTATTACAGTATTATGAAAGAAGTCTTTGCTTACTTCTTCAAAAGGTTTACTATGATGTGAATGTCGTCTCTGGCAGTTTATCCCACGTTAAATAAATGACAAACATTTCTGTCATTTAACGTGGGGTGAATCTCTGGAGAACCTAACTATAAGGAGGTCTCGGTTCATCCTTACGTTCACCTGTAAGATGAACGTACGACCTCACTATTGAAGGACTGAGACCACCTTTAGCTAGTATAGGCTAAGTACAGTATTAATATTATTGCAATGTGATATAATTATGTTAAGTATTGTGGGCATTCAGTCACTTCCTTTTCCCTCATCATAAAGGCCAATAAAAGTTCTCAGTAAATATCAAAGTCTTCATTCTTTCCTTTTAATGCAGGTAAGTGAAACAAATTAATGGTATAACTTTGGGAACGGTGCTAATGGTTCGTGCGGCCAAACTCCAGTGACGACCAATATAAACTGACACTCTGGCCCCTTATGACCGGCATATTTACATCCAAATACTTTTCCTCGGCCACATCACCAGGAGGCCATTTCCCCAGACATTATGGGCCACAAACAGTTAGTTAGTACCATAGTAAACACTTCCAACTCTTACTGTGACCATTTCCAATATTAACTGTAGGTAGAAAAATGTAAATAACGATAATTTTAACTATTGTATGTACACTTTCAGGAAGGGTCAGACGACTTAAGAACTGAATAATCCTGTCGTCTCACTATGGTTGGTTGGTGTGATTATGAGGCAATTCTTACCTATTATGGTTGGCCTAATTTAGTCATTTCACTCAAAAAATAAAATTAGTTTTGTTGCATTATGGTTGGTGAATAACAGTATGCCTCATGGGCCTATCAAAAACCTTCATTCGTGGTGTTATTTTGTTTCCCTCAAGATTTGTAAAGGTACTTTTTTACCGGGTGTACACAGGGACACCTCCAATGCCCTGTATTAGTAGGGATCAACCAATATCTTATCCCATTGTAACTGGCAAAATTTTAAGGAAATCTCTTCCACTTATAACCTTACTGTGCAACCAAAGTAACTCTATACAAAAGCCATCAAGGAACAGAAGAGATAACCGAAGACTTCAAGTTTTATGCTTTTTAAGCTGATCAAAGGTTATATTTAAAGTACAGTACATTATAAAGAAGTATATACTGTGCTATATTGAGCTCCTCTTGGCCGTGTAATCCTGCACCGATGGCCCAGTAACTGCCCGAAAAGAGACTTTGTAAACTTATTATAGTCATTTATTAAGGTACATGTTTCTCCTAGTTGATTATTAATGAGGTAATGTACTGTATGATCATCCCACAAGTTGTCACCGTCCGTTTCTAGTGAGGACGGTCACTTCGCCCTTTGCCTCTGTCTACCCAGCAGTATTTGGGACCTGGATGTTAATCAATTTGTGGATCGTATTCCGGGGTAATGGTTAGCCAGTGCAGTTGGCGAGTTGTCCGGTCTTCTCGAACTATTCCTCGACACTGGGTCATGCAGCTCGTTAATTCAGGGTGCGGTTGTTGTGTTGGCGACAGCTTCTACACCTTAAACAAATTCACACCTAGGAGGCCCTAGGGCCAACCATCCTCAAATATGAGGGGCAACCATTACATGTTTGTTGATATTTGTTGTAAGTGTCAGGAATCTTGATAAACACAGCTGTGTGTTTTACTTTATTGTGGTAACATTACGATGATGATAAGTGCAGCAGCAACAATGATATCATTGGCGAACTGCCTAAAAACTGTATTGATATTATGGCTGTTCAGTAAGATATAAGTTCTCAAACAAAACTAATATACTGTATACAGTACTGTACAGTATTGTTTTTTCTTCAAAATACTGTAGTGTATTTAGGAGGAATAAATTATATCACATGCACTCAGTCAGTTACAACTTCAACAATGGAGAAAACACTAGAATAGCACTGACTCATACAGGAGCCCCCCCCCACCCCCTCCTGCCTCAGCTTTGATATCCCATGAAGTATACAGGAGGAGGGAGGAAACAGAAAACTGCTGTCCCTCCACAAGTATTCCACTGAGTACCCTTGTGGAACAGGTGAAATAAATATTGGAAGATGAAGACTTTCTGTACACTGGCGATAAATCCACTCTTGGACAAAAGCCAACGAGGAAAATGCAAGAGATGTAACCTACTGTTCCTACACAATATATGGGTCATAACCTTTAACATGCCAATAATGTATATGGCTGCAATAGTACTGTACAAGAAAGCTTTGAAATGATGGTAACTAGCTCCCTTGATGTCCTATAAAGGTACAAGTCTAGAGAAATTCTTTAATTTTAACACATGTCACAGCTGATGAGTCATCCATAAGACACACAGCAGTTTCTCCCTGATGTTCGTGCTCATGTTGCTGGGGAAAAAGGTAACTGCTGTAATGTCTCCTATGTTATAAGCTTTCACATGAACAAGATTCCAACTGTCCTCGGCATCAACATAAGTCAAGGTATTACCAGGCACAGTACAGTATATGACAAGACTACGGTAATTTTAACTCCCACACCTGAAATGTATCTGCAAGACCTCCAGGAAACAGGATTATTTTGTATCCAAGTTTAGTGTTTGATTACTGTACCAATTCATTTTGAAGATCAGATTACAACATGTACTGTACTTACCTCCACTACCTGAGCTGCAAAAGCCAACTCACACAATTACTACAGATATTTGTTTTCCATGAATGGGAGAAATTACCAGTATGCGACAGTGGCAGATTTCACTGTTGAGCGGTATACCGAGCTGCTCTATCCTGACACAAGATTATAAATTCATTTCTCCTTGGAACCTCCATAAGGATCACCAGAGTACAGACAGAGAAAATTGTGAGGACCAATGTCTGATATTTAGCTTAACGACGGAGGGCTGTAAGTAACAAGGTTCTGTCCGTTGAATCCTAATGACTCACCGCTCACCAAACCAGAGTGAGAGCTAACTTAATAAACTCTACTTCAATTGGGTGAGTGAGTGCTTCTGTCCTACGGTACACAGGAGAGTGTATCTGCCCCAACAACACTGGTCAAGTTAGGATCTGCCAGAGGTTTGCTGGCAGGTCTGGGTGAACTATAATATGTCACTTGTGTTATGAATGACAGGGCATACATGATTGGAAAAATTTAACTCAATGGATCATATAATATAAAATTCTAAAAGTAGAGTAAGAGTAGACTAGAGTAGAGTATAGTTTAGTAGAATATAGTAGAGTAGATTAGATTAGAGTACAGAACAGTAGAGTAGAGAAGAGTACATACCTGTCCCGTGACGTAGCTGAATGTGAGAGGTTCCCATTCCTCACACTCTTGATCCAGCAGCCTGGTTATGGTAGCACGGAGATGAGTTGGTCTCAGGCGGTCCCGACCCACCCACGCCGCGAGTGCAGCATGACCCAAATTTTGGTCTCCTTTGACTGGGACTTGAGTTGTTGATCCCATGGTTGGTGGTAAAATTTTGTAAGAATGGCAAATTTCACATCAATGCTGAAAAGCTTTACATGCTCTTTCTAACTCCATGTCGAGGATGGTTGTTGACTTGTTAAAGCCCCAAGGTGGTTAATGCTCGACTCTTGTACCCTCGGGCTTATTTATTCTTCTATCGATCCAATCCGTAGCCGCGATCCTTTTTCATGATGTGGTCGTTACCAAAGAGAATGCCAATTTCCCTTTCTTTGTCTTCACTTCATGATTAATGCGTTGAATCTCACCTGGTGGAAAGCAATGCGAGGTATCTACCTGACCATGTTACCTGGAGCCACAGGTTAATGATTCAGTCCAATTGATTTTCGGATCATGCAGTCAAATCACTCATTGATCGAATGAGCCATATCTGGAAAAATAATAAAAAGGTTTAGTTCAACACAGTCCCAAATTTGGATCATCTGAACAATCTCCAACCCAGCTTAATTCACTTAAAGATTAACCACACTAATCCTTACCTATCTTATCCTAACCTAACCCAGGTTAGATTAGGCCAGATTAGGATAGGATAGGTTAGGTTAAGTTAAGATAGATAAGCATTAGGGTGATTAATCTTGAGGTGACATATGCTGCCATTGTTCAGCTGATTTCAAAACTCTTACATACAGGACTACATCGCATGAGATACTAAATAAGGAATAACAATCACAAGCAGAAGCTGACATATAAATTTACATCAATAACACAATACCACCACAACTTTTACATCAATAACATCACAACCTATACATCAATAACACACCACCACAACTTTTACATCAATAACATACATTATTGAGTCCCACATCAAACTGGTACAGTCCTACATACAGCTACAGAGATATTCCAGACTACAAAAACTGATGATAAACCACCATCCATATATGTCAGATAATAAGCAATGGGGGAGAGGGGGTAAGGTATCTAGTAAGTGGTGAGAATGAAGTAGATAATGCAAGTGGACGTACAGTAGCTAAAACAACTATCTGTGCAGGTGGGGGTCGATATGCTCCCAAATTATAAGTGTGACTAGTGACAGCCTCGTATACCAATATTTATCATCCATGGTCTCATATTGTTTGCCACAAAGTTTGCATAGATAGTTGTTTTAGCTACTGTACATTAGTTCTGGATAAAATAAATCAGGAAATAAAAAATATAAACATTACAATATCAGTAATTAATTTATGATGTTCTTAAGGTAGAAGTCATATTGAAGGCATAACTGGTCAACAATACACTACAGTTTCAAAAAGGTAAATCAAGTCATCTAAAATGTATTCTGTCATTGATCTGTTGAGTTACTTTTGGCTGGGTTGTTTTGCCTGTTTTATAGAGGACGACTTTTTTATTTTAAATAAAACTGAACATTAGAATATTCAAACTTGATTAATTGGTACAAACTGACCATTTCACTGATCAACAAAAGGTTATACAATCCCTTATCCAAAATCCTTGGGGGCCAGAGGCATTTCGGATTTCGGAATTTTTCGGTTTTCAGAATGGTTAGTTTTTTTGTGTATTAGCCCACCCGGGCACAAGTTACTGAACCACATTGGGGCCTGGGGGGCGAAAATATTATAATTATAATAATAATAATAATAATAATAATAATAATAATAATAATAATAATAATAATATAATAATTATAATAAAAATAAAAATAAAAATAATAATATTCATAGGTCTAGGTCGTGTTTCTCACTTTTTATCTTTTTTGTCATTCTTGTATTTCTTTATTATTATTATTTCATTAATACAGCAGGGTATGCTATAACGAATGGATTCTACTACGAATATTCCTATAACGAACGGTGTTACCTATAAAATTGAGAATGCTATAACGAACGAAACTCCTACAACGAACATTATTTTTTTTTTTTCGAATAAAGGGTTGTCAACCTGTACTGTACTCTGGAACTATTATACAAGTTAACCACCAACTCTGGATAATTTTTGTATAGGGCAATAACAGTTTAGGGTAAAATAATCATTTTGGTCATCCACCTATTTGGAAGTGCGTCAGAATCGTTCAAAACACATGAAAAACACCGGAAAACATAATTTCAACCAAACCTAAACCTCTCTCGGACGGTGGTAACTTAAAATCCTAAAATTCGCTGGATGACCGAAACGATAATAAAACCCACTTTTCTTACACCAGGAATACTGCACTAATACCTGGAGTGTGATTCAACCTCAGCACAAACCTGAGGAAAATTTCTCCATGGAAGATAAAATGTATCTTACAGCGAGAAAATGCCCGAGGAATGTGTCTTGTGTCTTGTCGCTTTTTAGTTTACAAATTCATGAGGGGGAAGATGGCATACACGACCTTGCTACACACACACCACACTTACATTATAGAGATGGTACTTTTTGCATAATAAATTAGAAAATATCTGTAGTGTTTTGGTTAGGTTAGGTATGTTAGTTTTCCTCATTTTATAAACGATAAATTATTAAGTGAAGAAATAACTAAAAAATAATGAAATGAACCGACGATCAATCACAGAAGGTAAACACAGCATACGTACAGGCTTAGCTCCTCTGATGGTGTAAAACGTAAAAGATTGTAAAGTGAAATTATGTAAATATTCCCCCTGCATTTTTTTTCAGTTTCTCTTCCATGTTGGGGCTAAGGCTGCACCACTCTCGTCAAGTATTAACCAAAATCTTTAATATGGTCAAACTAAAGTGCTACATCATTATATTCTCTCCACACGTCACTAACAGGAATTACAGTACAGGTAGTCCCCGATTTACGACTGCCTGGACTTACGACCTGCTCTGACCTTACGACAGTCGGGACATACTACCGCGGCAGTCATGACCAAAAATATTTTCAAATGACACGCGCATTTTCTATACCGAAACGTTTCTGTCCCGGGCGAGAGCGCGGGTACACTCACTCAGTGGAGCGCTTAGTTGGTGTTTGGCTATCGTATCCTATACTGATCGCGCTGTGAACTTTCGTTATTATCGTATTTAATTGACTTTATAATGACTGGAAAGCGTATAAGTGAGAGTGCTGGTGGTGTTCCAAAGAAAAGGAGACAGGCAATTACTTTTGAGATGAAAATGAAGATAATAATGCAGTATGAGAATGGAAAAAACAGTAGCAACAATCTCACGCGACCTAGGTTTCTCGCACTCGACCATATCCACTATTCTGAAGGACAAGGAACGTATTCATGAAGTAGTGAAAGGAACAACACCTATAAAGGGAACTATAATATCAAAGGGAAGACAAGGTCCTATTCACGATATGGAAAAATTATTGGTGATATGGATAGAAGACCAGATACAGAAGCGTGTACCCTTAAGCCTTCTAACCATACAGGCTGAAGACAAGAAGCCTGTTCCAAAGCCTGAAGGAGCAGGCAGGAGATGAATGTGATCAAACCTTTACAGGAAGTCATGGGTGGTTTGATAGATTTAAAAAACGCTACAGTCTACACAATGTTAAGGTGCTGCCGAAGCTTTTAAGGAGGAGTTAGATGAAGTGATTGTGGAAGGGAATTATTTGCCTGAGCAAATATTCAATGTGGATGAGACTGGATTATTGTGGAAGCGCATGCCTCATCCAATTAATATAGTCTCCATGTATCCTGTAAATAGAAAATTATGGGGGCCCCGTGTGCATTCAGCTGACTACATTAAAGGTAAGTGCTCAGTCACACTGTATCCATTCCTCATTATTTATTACTTTTACTGTACTGTATTTCATTGCAGATTTATTATTTTATTTTTTGAATTTTTTTTTTTATCTATGTCGGACTTACAACCAGTCGGATTTACGACCTGGATTTGGGTCCCTAACCCTGTCGTAAGTCGAGGAGCACCTGTATATGAACATAGTGGAAACAGGTAGATAAGCCATGACGGACTGTGTTGTTAATGGTTAGGTTAGGTTAGGTTGTAGGGTAGTTTAGGGTATAGGTTAGGTTAGTCAGAAAGAAGGCTATTTTAGTAATTATCTATGTACAGTCTGCCCACCAAGCAAGCATGTTAAGCTGCCGTACCAACAGACATCGACGTTACACATACGACTGCCATACCTGTCTTAATGAATGAATATATTTAGGGTAGTACACTATTGGCTTTCATGTCACAGGGTATAAAGAGGGGCTGTAAAAGGTCTACTGAGTTATAGGGTTTGAGTATAAGGCTAGGTATTAGGAGATAGGGTATAAGGAGCTACAGGGTATGAGAAACAGGGTGTAAGGAACTAGGGTATGAGGAACCAGGGTATAAGGAGTTAGGGTATAAGGATTTAGGGTGTAAGGAACTAGGGTAGAAGGATTTAGGGTGTAAGGAACTAGGGTATGAGGGAACCAGGTATAAGGAGCTAGGGTATTAGGGTATGAGGAACCAGGGTATAAGGAGTTAGGGTATAAGAATTAAGGGTATAAGGAACTATGATATAAGGAACCAGGGTATAAGGAGCTAGGGTATAAGAATTAAGGGTATAAGGAACTATGATATAAGGAACCAGGGTATAAGGCAGGATATAAGGTAGACTATACAAGGTCACGGTAGTAAGACACCACCTCCACCCTCAATTAAATCATCATAATTAACCTCCCCGACCCTTAAATAACCAATCAATCTAGATCAAATACAAGATAAACGACTCAGGAATACACGAGAATGGTAAATTGGGTGAAATAATGAGAGAATAATGAGTAATTAATGATAATATAAGACTTACAGAGTGACTCCCTCCCTAACCTGGAGAGCAGACACAAACAGCTGAGCTCTTGTATTACTCCGCCACCATTATAGTATTTCATTAATTATATCTTTTCTACGTAATATTCTTCATGTTTAGTTATTTAATAGTGTTTATGTGTATATATTGGTTTATTTAAGGAAGGAAGAGTTGTTTTTAATGAGAAGTTAAATGGGTTTTTATAGTATTGAGTGACAGTGTGAAAATAACTCCAGGTATTTGAAAGCCTTATATTAACGACTTCTGTTATTTATTTTCACGAAATATTACATAATAAATATATAAATTTTAAATAAGTATAAATTATTAGAAAGATATCTGATAAAATTCACAATAATTGATAAATTATATAAAGAATTTGGGACTAGTTTGCGAGGCGGGCCTGGAGGTTTTTGGTCACCCAAGAACTTCCAGACGACCACGAAGATTCCCTTTTATTTTTTCGAATTATCTCCTCATCTACAATCATGGAGGCCTAAATACACACCCATCATATCCGAGAAGGGTAAGTGCTGAGTTCTAATGAGACAGTTTTCCATGTTATGTTTTTAAAGTGGAGAAAATAGAAGTAATATGAGAGGATCTTGTCGACACATAGTGGACACGTATGCTTCGTCTTATTAGGCAATTACTAGTGATTTTGAATGTTAATAATTACCAGTCAGCGGATATAATAGTGTATTAAGTCTAATATGAAGTTTTATATCCTAGAAAAGTTTTAATTTATATGACAAATGAATATCGCATCTGTAACCTCGTTTAGGTGAAGATTACGTCGCAATATCTTTATACCGGGAGTACACTGGCCCACACAACATGGTACATTAACTAATATAATAAAGTTAACCTCCATGACTCGTGGAAATCATTGGAATAAGTGATGTAAGAGAAGAGGCGGTGATAATAGTGCAACTCTTAGCATGTTCACACCTGGTAGCACTTGACTCCTCTCGCCCCCTCACATCAGCTGGTGAGAGTTGCCTCGTCGTCATATCGAGACAAAATGGAATTATTTATGCTCTTTAGTTTATTCCTGTTATATTAAGGTTACGAAAAATATATTTTGATGCGTAATTTTACCTCTGTGATTATTAGAAAGGGGAATTGTTACATATAATTTGAAATATTAGTGGGATGTGTAGTAAACGTTTGGGTGTGACAACGTTGCTTTGTTATCGTGAAGGTTCAAGTGACACCTAATTAACATATTCAACCATGTCACTGTTCTCTACATGTATATCTTGTGTTAATTGTAAATAAATTGAAGTGTGGCGTTAGTTGTAGTTTGTGAAAATGTTAAGCAAGCGTACAGGTCGGCCCCGCCTCCACTAGTTGGCATCTCGCCCGAGCTGAAATTGTCAGGACCTCGTGGTACGCGTGTTACGTTGATCGCTCTCCACATTTTAGTAAATTTTACCGGGATATTAAAAGAATTACAGTGAAATTTAAAGCCTAGAAGGTAGAGTGTGGTGCAGTGATGTGTTGAGTGTAATTACAGTGTTATGTGAAATGAAAGTCGCCAGCAATATGTCCACATATGCTCGTGTGGTGAGGTGCTCCCACACCAGTGGATGCGTGGGCACAGGCCATCTCCCGTACACCTTGCGTATACCACTACTGGGGTGTTTGGGAATGGTACACGTCATATGGATGAGCGGTGGATGACGTGCAAGCACCATGCACGTCGAGGAAGCAGCTCCAAGAAATCCTCTCGAGGCATCGGGTCGGTGAAGCTGGGTGGAGCCGTCCCAGTGAGACCATTACTTTGCCCCGCCATGGTAAGACCGTGTCCTAGTATGGTGGTTGGTATGTACTGTACTACTGCTAGGATGGTTGATGACCCACGGTCGGGCACGCACTGTGGCTAGTGTCTAGGGTGTGTGGTGGAGGCTGCTATATCACTGTACCTCACATAGACTAATTCACGACACTTACTGCTCATAGCATTATGTTTAAGAGTAATGTAACTTTGGTAGACGTGCCATAACTGCACTGTATTTGTTTAATTTCAGTAATCCATCACTTGCTTAAGGTCTAGGCATACAGTGGAGCTATTATCTTGATGTTTAACAAATACATTGGACTACTGAGGCGTAACAAAGTCTCTTGAAACTATACAAGATGCTGCCTTTATCACACATTGATTTCAAGCATTATAAAAAAAACTGATTGTCATCTAAGGTTAATTTCAGACAGATACCATAGTGATTAGTTATTAGTAGGAATATATTGGCTTAAGTCAATTCTTTTACCCTTTATTTACATTACAGTTTCTTGTGTTTGGTGTTACCGCGATTAGGATATTATAAAGTAAGAAGCGTAACAGAAATGAAGATGTTTTTTGATGTATAGTGATGACGCAGCGGTGCCCACCACATGTCCCCACACGTCACGACTTGTCTCCCTATCCCTCCCTCTGCTCACACCTCGCTCTCTTAAGCAGGACGTGAGCCAGCCTGCCCCGCCCGTTGTTGGATAGTATTACACCATCTTGCGTAACCTATCCCAACGATTTCAATCTTTTATCCAATTAAACAGAGTAGTTCTTATGTCGAAAGTAGTTGAAGTGACCTGATTTATGGTATAGTCGTCCATGAAGTTATTGAAATAATTTTTTTGACTACCGTTTTTTTTCTCACTTAACCTTATTATGCCACCACTGAGGGCAAGAACCGAATAAATAAGTTATTAAACGTTTTGATTGATTCTATACACATTTTGGAGTTACATTGTTACCTCTTGATTTGGAAGCGGTTAGGTGCATTGTTACGATTGGGTTACTGTGCCATTTCTACATATACAGTGGTTACTTAGCCTTTCACTTTAATTTCTAGATTCCCGTGTCATTTTTTTTAGGGATATTTATCATTTTTTTATGAATCATATGGCCTCTGCGAATTGACTTGTATGGATTATAAATTTTATGTGATTATTTTCCTGATTCACAGTAATTTCTCGTCGCCAATTCATTTCTTGTTTGCCTAGACTACTTCAGAGATTATATTTTCTCATGCGTTCATTACAAATTGTCCTCAAACTGTTATAGGTATTTTACTGTTTGTCACTAAAAAGATGGTTTCCTGTGTACTGTATATGCTTGCGGTAGTTGTGAAGCCGATAACTCAATTGGGATATTAACCGACTCAGGGAAACTTTGCATATGGACGTAATTATATATTTTTTAGAGTTTATTATTTCACTTCTTATATTGGGGGGAGGGATTATGGCTTTATTAATTTGTCTAGCGGTATATACAGTACACAGCGATATTTGAATTAGTTGGGTAAGTAATTTCTTGTGTTATGTGAAGTGGGCGAGGTTTGGCTGGCAGGTGTGGGCTTGGTCATTCCTGGCCTCAAGGCTGGGAGGGCAACAGGAGCCAGGAATTTCGTGTCTCATGTTATTTTCACTGTTAGAATAACTTAATTTTTTTTTATTCATCTTGTAGTCAATTTGTTTTAAGTTCTGTTGTGGATTAAATTAACTTGTTATCATTTAATTTTCATCTCAAGTTGTTAATGTTAGATTCTGTCACATTGATTTATTGGTTAATGTTAAATTCTCTAACGTTAATTTATTATTATTAGGTACGACATAAATTTTGCTAATCTCAAAAGTCTTGTCTATTTGTGAAGTTAATGAGTCGCTTACCACAGTTTTCAAGCAGTGTTTACAGTGTTCGATTTTTTTCAAGTACAGGTTGTCATCGCCAGACGAATTTCTAAGGTAAGTCATCATTAAATTATATAGTATCTCTATTTTAGATTATTATATTTACATTTCAATTTGTATAACATGTTCGTTTCTAATATTTTAGCTTTAAGTGTATCGTTTATTCTTATTGAAGTTTCGTGGAGATTTAATGCGTTTTTTTTGTCATAGGTGTTTGAATGTACAATACTGGTGGTGACTTGAATTGAATTGAATTGAAACATTTTATTTAGCTAGAAAAATACAGATGCAGAGTGGGTAATAATAACAATATTAACATGGCTGAGCCAGTTGAGAACCTGAGCTGCACCTGATATATACTATACATTTATCTCAAGGAAGTATTATGTAACATTTAGTATAATCTGGAATAGTACAATAGCATGGTGGTAATAAGAACATCTCATAATGTTACCACGGTTATCACTTCAATATTTATTTATTATTTATTATATATATATATATTCTAGTGGAATTGAAAAACATAAGTATAATGGGGGAGCAGTACAACATAGTTTGTACAGTAATAAGGTTGAACAAGAGGACAGAGCTGTCAGGATTTTGTCTAGTTGGCAATTATGTTTATTGAAATGGTAATTACTTATTTATTTACATGATAATTTCCGATAAAAGGTTTTGATGATACAATAAAAGCAGGTACTGTAAATATAGTAAGTGTTACAAGAAATATTAATACTTCGACAATAGATATTTTTTTAGAGATGATTTAAAGGAAGGGAGCGTAGTCTTTGCTGGGATGGGTGGGGGTAAGTTGTCCCACACCTTCACACCATGATATTTTATGGGGGTCTGGGACTGAGAGGAGCGCATGGGGGGTGGTCTTAGTAGCTCTGGGTGCCTTAAGTTGTATCTCTGATTATTCCGGAACTGGAAATGATTATTGTCAGGCAAATAATTGATAGATTTGTAAACAAAGAGGGCACAGCAGTAAGTGTTAATATCCTCGAATTTAAAAAAAATCAATATAGCAAATTTTTCGTTTGTGTGATCTGCTTTTTTTTTTCAAATAGGTCATTGTCCGGGTATTAATCTAGCTGTTGAAATGCAATACAGATTGTATATAACAAATTTGCACATTACGTTACTGCAAAATTAATTATTGGGTCGACGGAGATGTCACGAATGATGAAAGTATATAACCTAGGCTATGTGGGTCAGTATTACGTTGTCTTTAGTTTTGTTAATTTTTTACACAAACTACGAAGATGTGGATAAGTATATTGGAGATAATTATAGCTTATTGTGTGCGTGGATTTGGTGAGTGTTCCCAGGAAGAACCTTGAGAGAAAATGGAGACGCATGTGTTGTGGTGTGTGAGAAAACGTGAGAGGGAGACGATGGATAAACTCAATCATTCCTTCAATTAACTTTTTTTCCGTTGTGTTTTATATAATATTGTGAAATATTCGTTATATTGAATTGCCCTTAATGGGGATATAATGAAAGAGTTGTTTGTGTGTTAATATGGTAGAGATATGAGCTGTTTCTTCTAACTTCCAGACTTGTTGCTGTTAATACACCTGTACAACTCTTTTTATTCCTTATTGCGTTCATCGAGTTCTTTATCATTACATATTTTTTTTACATTATAATATGTAGATCAGTTAGACCAGAGGCATTGGTTTAGTGTGGTGGTATTCACACAGCCCCCATCTTCCACGCCACACCCTCGCCAACCAACCGTCCGCCCACTGATGAAACCTGTTGCCAAAACAAACCTTAGCCACCAAGACTTAGGGCATCACGACCTGGCAAATGTCACCGAGTCCTTACCTTAAAAATAGAGATGAAAATACCGTAGTGTAGGAGTTTGTTCCTTATGGGTTAGTAAGATAAAGGTGGTGTGAGGTATTGAGAACACTGCGAGTCACACGTACTTACTACACTGTGGAGGTGGAGTGAGTGAGGGAGGAGGAGGGGGGGGGGTCGACTCGCCTCCGGGATGTTACCACTGGAGGATAATGGTTAAAACTTATGGCGTAGCGGTATGTTGATGCCTTCAAGAAGACTGGAGAAGCTGGGGGCAGAGGGTACGGTTACATGTATTGATGTATTCAGTTTTCAATGTAATTTAGCTGTTAGCTGCCATCTTGGTCTATCCTTGGTTAAATCAAGTGACTATGTACCATTGTGTGTGTACCTACGCTGTCTCTGGATCTACAGTATGATGATTTTAATGACTTTATGAAACTGTCTATCCAAACTTATATTTCGAAACAGTACTGGAGGCTCATGAATTCCCATAACCTAACCTAAACATACACACGTCGCCTCAACCTGTAATTAGGCTGTGTGCTTTTGCATAATCTGTATTTATTAATCACCCTAACCTAACCTTGCCCTTCCATTTAGCGTTAGGGTGGTTATTCTCCAGAGGGTTTGTAGATTATTTATGTGGGGCCCTTGTTTCCAAACGCCTCCTCGCTAATTGTTGTCGCTAGATTTATATTTAAACAATAAAATTATATATCTTACAGCTTCACATAAGTTCATGATGTATACATAGACAATATATACTACTTTTACTACTATTGATAATAATAATAAGACGATTTAACTGAAGATATAAGAAACCCGCTAGCAGTTTATTTACATTGGGACTCGTGTGTAGAAGATAAATATAAGATAGTGTCATTTTTGAAAAGTATTGTTGGGTTATGGAAGACTGATAGCAGATCACAGTAGATTCCCCCCCTCCCTCCCTCCCTCCCCACGGTTTGTCACCTGATAATCAAACGCCGTTAATGCTACCTGGGGGGGGGGGGGGTGGTAGGTTTGAGGTCACGTTGGGTATGAGAAGTTAGGATTGGTTAGATTTGAGTTATATATTTCCTCTGTTGGGGTAATGTAGGGCAAGGTGTTACGGTTGAACAAGGTATAATGTTTAGACCTTGGTGGAGGGACGGTATATGTGGGTCAGGGAGGTGGAGGGTTGGCTGGAAGATTCAAGTGACACGCAAGACCCTCCAGCTCCTCCTCCGCCTCCTAGTCGCTGCTCAGGATATCGTATTAGGTATTGGCGGAGGTGAAGGGTTAGCTGTGATGGTGTGAGGTTACGGGTGTGGTGTAATAACAGTAACGGGATATGGTGACCAATAGGGAAGGCCTGTGGAATGTGTGTGTGTGTATATTGTGTTGACTGTATACGTGTATGTATACTGTGTGTGTGTGTGTGTACGACTGCCATAGCTTAACACCAGTAACTAGATTGTTATTATTTTAAATACCTCCACTAACTACGACACACAAACGACTATAAATACGTGTCACCTGATGATTGAACACCCATAACCTCCCCTTCCTCCCTCCCTCCCCTTCTCAACTGGTGAAATAAGTTGGGGTGTCTAATCTTCATGTGATATCCAAGGTAGTCATAACATTTGGTTTTATAATACTGTATGCAAATGGGGAGGAGGAGGAGGGGATGGGGGAGGTACGGGAAGAGAGTGGGACGGGAGCGGGAGATGGCGGGAAGAGAGTGTGTGGGGGGTAGTGGTTCTGGTAGTTTCAAGGTCAGTAGGTTTTGCAGGGAGCTGGTTGGGCTTGTTTTGTGGTGGGGAGGGAGGGGTGTACTGGCCCCTGCAAGTCTTGTGGTGGGGAGGGATGGGGGGGTATTGTCTTAAAATGAAGGGAGGAGAAGAGGTTGTCTCTGAGGCCCCAACATTCTCTTACGATGCTCGAGAATATTACTCTCTCTCTCTCTCTCTACACCACCTGTATATGATGACCATTACCTGTCATTTGTTTTACCTGTACCTACCTGAGGACTGGAGACCGTCCCTTTAAATGCTGATGTTAAATGATTGTCTGTCGTGTTGTGTACTTTGACGACAGGTGAGAGTGAATCAAACCCCTGTGTTGTTGTTACCTGGAGGGTGGGTTTAGGTTAGGTTAGGTTGGTTAATCATCAGGTGAACCCAGTACCCTCTGGTGTGTGCTTAGGACGAGACAAAACTCATGTGTTGGGCTTAAAACTCCATGAGAAACTACTTGGGAATGTTAGCACCAGTGTTGTGAGCTTACTACACCACACACACAACACACACACACACACACACACACACACACTGCAGGTGGTCATGGTGTACACGGAACTTGTTGGTTTAGGCGAGGTTGTGTTGGTGTGTGTCGAGGTCACTGGCTGGCTGCAGTGTGACGTCACGTGCTACCCCAAGGATATACGGGGACCCTGCCTATTTGGTACCACTGTTGTTGGTGGTTGTTGTTGTAGTTGGGGGTGGTTGTTGGTATTGTTATTGCTGCTTCTGGTGTTCTTGTATATGTCCAGTTTTGTATAACTGTATCTGTCTACCAACACACACACACACACACCAGAATACACGGTAACCATGACCTACCATACACAAGGATAGGGTTACCATGGGCTGATAAGCCTAACCTAACCAACACGTGTACTGTTTCCCATGAGTGATAAAGAACTAGGTCAGGTCAGGTCAAGCCACACAGCTGTGCTCTCTTCGTGTACGTATGGTGGAAAGGAAGGAGGGAGGGAAGAAATGAAGGAAGGAAGGTAGAAAGAAATGAAGGAAGAAAGGAAAGGAAGGTAGAAAAAAATGAAGGATAGGAAGGAGGGAGGGAAGGAAGGTTGAAAGAAATGAAGGTAGAAAGAAATGAAGGAAGAAAGGAAAGGAAGGTAGAAAAAAATGAAGGATAGGAAGGAGGGAAGGAAGGTTGAAAGAAATGAAGGAAAGGAAGGAAGGAAGGAAGGTAGAAATTTTGAAAGAAATGAAAGAAAGGAAGGAAGTAAGGATAGGAAGGAAGGTAGAAATGATAATAAAAGTGGTTGTGTTAGTTAAGGCTGGGCCAAGGACACTATCTACAGTTTATGATGCATCACTGGGATTGTTTACGTTGGGAATTATTGGGTTTTATCTGGTCTTGTCGGGTTTTGGGGCCTTTTGTCGGGTCTTGACGGGTTTTTGTCGTATTTTGTCGGGTCTTGACGGGATTTTGTCGTGTTTTGTCGGGTCTTGACGGGTTTTTGTCGTATTTTGTTGGGTCTTGACGGGTTTTTGTCGTATTTTGTCGGGTCTTGACGGGTTTTTGTCGTATTTGTTGGGTCTTGACGGTTTTTGTCGTATTTTATCGGGTCTTGACGGGTTTTGGTTTTTGTCGTATTTTGTCGGGTCTTGACGGGATTTTGTCGTGTTTTGTCGGGTCTTGACGGGTTTTTGTCGTATTTTGTTGGGTCTTGACGGGTTTTTGTCGTATTTTGTCGGGTCTTGACGGGTTTTATCATGTCTGTCGGGTTTTATCGGGTCCTGTCGGGTATTGTTTCTTTTATTTACCTTTTCCTCAACAGTTGACGACAAATTATAACTTCTGTCTCGAGATACATAAAAGAAACCAACCTTTGTATTATCTATGGGGGGGGGGGCTGGCACAGTATCTTATCTGAAGTCTTTTGTTGTCACTTAAGATAGGAATTGAAACGCCTGGAGGTGGTGCTCGCCCTCGAGGTTCAAGGAGCACACAATGGTAGGGAGGGTTGTGTAACTCTCTTCTCTTTATTATCTTCTCTAATCTTTCTTCTCTTCTCCTCTCTTCTCCTCCTGGATGGATGAACAATGGCGGCTGTCCTCGTGTTGTTCCCTTCACCTGATGTGTTGTGTGTGTGTGGGGTCTGACCAGGAGGAGGTAGGAGGAAGAGGGGGAGAAGGAGGAGGATAAGGTGGGGAAGGGGAGGAGGAGGAGACGGGAGAGGAAGAAGGGAGTGGAGGAGGAAGGAGAAGTGGAAGAAAAAATGATGAATAAATGTTAAGCTGTTTCCTTCTGTGTGTGGTGTGGAGAGGGGCAAGGTGTGGTGTGGAGGGAGGGAGGCAAGGTGTGGAGTGTGGAGGGAGGGAGGCAAGGTGTGGAGTGGAGGTCTGGGGACAAAGGGACAGGTAGGAAAGGAGGAAGGAAAGGTTGGTGTAAAAGATAGGGGGTGGTCGACCTTGTGTTTGGTGGGGAGGGCGGGGGGAGGAGTGAGTGAGGGAGAGGGAAGGTAGGGAGGGAGGAAGGTAGGAGTGAGGATGGAGGAGTGAGGGATGGTAGGAGGAGGGAGGGATGGTAGGAGTGAGGGAGGGAGGAGGAAGTGAGGAGGGAGGGAGGAAGTGAGGGAGGGTGGAGTGAGGGAGGGTAGGAGTGAGGGAGGGAGGGAGGGATTATGGTGTGTGTGTGTGGTCAACAGCCTTGCGGGTCATTCCTCAGTTAAATACGGTGACCTTTACAGGGTGAAGCTGCCGTAAAGGTCACCATTGTTACTACCACCTACCACTAACACCACCACCATCACTACCACCACCATCCCACCACCCTCCTACTACCACCACCACCACCACCACCACCCACCACCACCCACCACCACTACCATCACCACTACCACCCCACTCCACCATCACTACCACCACCACCATCACCACCACCACCATCACACCACCATCACCCACTACCACCACCACTACCACCACCACCACCACACCACCACTACTACCACCACCACCACCACCACCACCACCACCACCACCCACCACCATCATCATACCACCACCACCACCATCATCACCACCACCACTACTACCATCACCACTACCACCATCACTATCACCAACCACCACCATCATACCACCACACTACTACTCCATCACCACTACCACCATACTACCACCACCATCCACAACCACCACTACCACCACCACCAGTTAGGTTAGGTTACATTAAAAAAAGTGGAACAAGTTAAATCGGTTAAGTCAGGGATAAATCTACCGTTACCTAAGATATATAACGGAGGGAACGTCTATTACCGTTTTTTACGGTTAGGACGACACACACACACACACACACACACCTCTGTCGGGCAAGTAACAGGTGGCCATTTATT